GGAGCCGCCCCGGCGGGGACCCCCGAATGAGCCTCCCCGCTGTGGCCGAAAACACCCCACAGGTTGGCCCTCTCGTAGCTCGGCCAGAGTCGGTGCGCGCCGAACCCCTTATTGGGCGGATGCGGCGGCAATTGGGTTTGGTATAAGTTCGGCATAACGCCCATTTCAGTGGCCATGGCCGTCGGCGCCGTGGTTGAACCGAGGGACTGCGTGGAGGCATTCATCTTTTCGAGCATCGCGTTACGCGCATTACTGCTGCTGTGGAATTCGTTCATGTGGTGGATGTGAATCGCCTTGACGCGTGGCGGTCGGTCGCCGAGGGTGTCAATGCGAAACTCGGCCCATGCGGCGAACCCACGGTCCTCTAGTGCCGCACTAACACGTTCCTCAAGTTGCTTAATGAGCGCTGGACGTACACGTACGTGGTTCTCAGCGGCATTGCAACAATCTGCGCTGGAAAGCGATGGCAATGATCTTGAAAAGTCGAAGCTTTGAGGTAGTACCCCTTGAGCCCTGTTGAGCTCCACTAGACGCTTAAAAGTGTAAGAAGTAGTGTTGTCATCGGTTGTATCGGTCTTCAAGCTTCCTCTTTCAAGTCCACCGGTGAGATGGGGTAGAAAAATACCGTCTAGAGAATGGTCATGCGGTACTTGAGAGTTGCTTTGATCGCTCTCCTCCACTCCAGGAGAGGACAGCAAAGATTGTAGAAAGGCAAAAATATCCTCAAGTCGATGTTTTTTTCGGTCCCCTTTTTCAGTGTGACACCCTTGAACGCTGCAATGCTTAGGATTCGCTGACGTGGAGTTAACATCGGTGGGATGTGTGGCTTCCTCTTCCGCTGCCAATGCTGAGCAGTATAACATCTCTAAAATAGCATTTAGGAGACGCTCTAGCCACAACGTTGTTTCACCGTGGTGACGAGGTATACGAGTTCGGCGAGAGGGAACGTGGCGAAACCGTATTTTTTTCACTCCTACTAACGCGATTACAAACCCCGCGAAGAGAAGAACACGCAAAATAGAAGATAAAATACTAAGAATCATTTCTTCCTAAAAATGTATTAAATGCATACACACAAAGAAAAAAATTACCACCTTTCCCTCTCTATATCCGCTATGCAGCATAAAAAAACTAATAAGTCTATATAACAAAGTAAAATAGTCAAAAAGTGGACTTGGTTTCACCATCCCTTAAGAATTAATTAAAAGCAATAAAAGGTGGTAACCTTTTACATGAGACGTTCTTCAAGTCGAGTAGCTTGAAAACAGGGAACATGCTATTTGATTTGCTAGAAAGTATGGCTACTTTTATTAAAATTCTACGCAACAAACTGTAAATTGAATTCGGTCATAATTGAACTCTCATATCACCTATCGAAACTAGCTCGACTCTATGTTCAGTGGCTCCTTGTCATTCAGGCTCACTTGGTACAAGGCATCATGTGTAGGCTCCAATTCCCCTCCTACAACCTCGTCATAGGTAGGATCTTCAATTTCCACTATTTCGGTAGCTTCAGGAATCCGCTGCGATTGGTCCACAACACCCTCTTGGACTCTCAGAGTGCTAGCATTACCAGCACGTTGCAAGGGGGATACATACGATTCAGGGCCTTCCTGAGAAGTCATTTCAACAAAATGTCCGCGTGATGGCAAACGAGTTTCGCTCTCTTCTGTGTTGAATGGCGAGAGTGTAGCTACGTGTTCGAATGCTCTACCAAGAGCCTCAAGACGATCTTCAATGAAGCTTAGTCCTCCCATGAGCCCTGCAGCCACTCTGGATCCAAGATTTCCCAATTCGAAAGCCTCGTCCGGTTCCGTTGCTTGTCTGAATGCTCCACCTTCACGGAAGTCTGGATTAAAGACTGTATTTTGGAAAAAGGGATCTTCATCGCCTGTTTGTGGTCCCCCAAAGTCATCTGTGTTTGCCTGTAATTCTCCCTTCACTTCGGCGGAGGTAAGCTCACGGAAAAATTCGTCATTATTCCAGACACCATAAATGGGAGATGCGATACCTGGAAGATAAAGCCGTCCACGGCCCTGCTTTTTACCATTCCGCCATCGCCCGACAAACCTTTGACCGTCGTGTAGAACCTCTTGGCCCTTTCCATCCTTACAGCCGTTCAACCACCTTCCGGCATACCGATCATTGTTGACGGCAACAAACACACCATATCCATTCGGTTCGTTGTTCGCATACGTCCCCTTAAAGCGGTGGCCCTCCGCGTAGATAAACTCTCCAGAACCACAGCGCACCCCGTCCACCCATTCCCCGAGGTACAAATCCCCATTCGCGTAAGACCGTTCGCCATAGCCATGGGCCTTGCCATTCCGCCACACTCCATTATGGGTACCACCTTCGCTGAAGTGAAGCATCCCTCGGCCGTGGGGTAGCTGCGTGTTCAGATCGAGCTCCCCGACGTAACGCCCCGCCCCCAATAAGAGCCCTGCAGCGGAGGTACGAACTACTCCGGTGGCGGGATGGTCATCCCCAGAGGGTGCAAATTGCCCACCAGAAACCGGTTTCCTCCCCTCTTCTGGCATTCTTTTATCCGAGGAAGGCCGCCGATCCTGCACGACGTCGGAGAGGGAATGCGGCCGGCCCGCGTCACCCACGACCGTCCCCCTCAGCACGACGGGCGGCCCCTCCGCCTCCTTCGGCCTCGTCGTGCTCGACGGGGCTCCCTTCCCCATCAGGGGATTCGGAGGGGCCGACAGGGTGGCATCCACGGAAGGATTCCCGCTTGAAGGAGGGGAAGTGGGGGAGAACTCATCCCCGGAAAGGGGATGAGGTGCGTCGGGCAGGTCCGATGAATTGTTATGCAACATGATAAATAATGAAAGTAATAATGGTACGCATATATATATATGTATATGGAGATATATTTATGGCTTTTATGTCTGTAGCTCCCTCTTATGTTTCACCGTGTTGGTGACACAAGGTACTATTCAAGAGTCTTCAAATTTTTTAACTTTTTCTACACATAGGTGAGTTGGACATTAAGAAGGAAAAAACACCCCCCAGTGCGTACCGGCGTCGATGGATATATACATATAGACTGGAAAAGAGAATACAACGAGTACCCGACTCACTTGCAGAATCCAAAGATCCAAAGAAAGCAGCAATGCAAATAACATCTCAAATCCAAATAGAATTGCAATAATAACTTTGACCAAAACAATAGGAAGGATGCCTGAAAAGAAATTTTTCCCCCAAGCAGATACAAGGAGTGACTACATCAACAGTTCCTGATACGTCACCCTACGCACTTCATTTTACTTTTATCACAGCCCCTCTCTCTTTGTAATTCTTTCCACAGACTTCTCTAGTACTATATCAGTCATTAGCAACGTACTCCTATTCATTGAGAAGCCCAATACAACAATGGAAAACAAAGTGAATTTCAAGGCAAAGAACTAAAAGCAAGATCATGAACATGAAAACTGCATGCTGAACCTCACAGCGAAGTACGATTTAGATGATCAATTTAAACAGTAAAGAAGCATCAGCTCATACTGATTAGGCTGAGGTAGCGTACAACACTGTTTTATGAACCCATGGCTCAGCTATCCGCATCCATCATCGCATCGCATCCCCAAGTCGACAGGGCATTCAACTGAGTCTAGTGAAATATTTGCTCAATACATAGTTTCCGCATAATATTTCTTCAAAATAAGTTCGTCTTCAAGGATATACCAATTTGAATATTCAGCATTGAAGTAAAAATTGCGCTGAAAAGAGGAGGAGGAACTCATCTGGAGCTTGTGGTGCAGCGTTTATACAAATACTTATATCATCCTTTGGCCTATTAAATGGTCCTAATTCAGAGCAGTTTGTTACTCACTAGAAACCAGTCCTTCAAATATCGAATTACATTTAGGCGCGCGTAACAATGTGCTGAGATAGAATTATGTCGCTTATGCCATGGAAGTGAGTCAGTTTTCAACCATTTTTCAACTTCATTTAATAGAAAGCGGTCATCTGAGATGGTTTTGATGTCCAGAATTCAAGCTCGCATTACCCTGCAGATTTGGAGTGGATCAACTCGCGCTTACTAGATTTTGAGTTGTCAAACGACTCAAGCCGCTCTTCCATGATGTGGAAAAATATACTTTTGTATTGTTTCTCTTATATGGTAAGCTTAAAATAATGCAAGCGCAAATTACACTACTTCGATACATGTCTTGAAGGAGAAATAACAGCAAAAAGGAAGTAGTAAAATAATTATAGCAATAGTGATTCATAATTGCATCATTTTCTTTCTTTCAGAAATAAAGAAAATGATCAAAAATAAATATATGTGCATGAAATCGCTTATTTAAAGTATTAATCCCGGTTTAAATGTATTATTCTTATTTCGTTCGCTATTTTCCCTGCCTTATTAAAACATTTCCTAGGCTTTAGAAAAGATAATTAAAGTTTCTATTGAGTTTATGACGAGGTGCTTGGCACCAATATTCTTGTGGCTACCTAGTGGAGTCTTTTCATTCCTTCCACCCCACCTACTAGGTATAAAATGTTGACTAAAAAGCCTAATTCGAAAAGTGTGTATTTATTGTTTTTAAGGAAAATTAAAAAGTCACCATAAAAATATATTTCAAATATTCTGTTCGTTTTCTGGGATAACCTTTTCATGGGTTGATATCCTGCACAAAAGCGAAATGGCGACACAACAATAAGGAACAGCTTAATTAAAGGAACAAAGCGTTATCCGTCGTTTTATTTCCGTAGTTTAACATAAACAAAGGCACCCTCCCTTTGTATCGCATCCCTCAAAACAGCAATTTCAATGAACGCGTCTCCTAGAATCGCTATTATGTTTTTTTTCCTCTTATATGATGAGCTAAAGCATGCATATATAGAATAATGCTCCATAGATATATAGATATAAGAAATTCGGCTCTGTAACAGCAGCATTTGCATACCATACTTTCCCTTTTGTTTCTTATCACGTACCCTTTTTATGTCGTCTCTGTGTGTATACCCCCAAAATATTCTATACACTTTCAGCTTTGATTGATTCCTTAATAAATGCCTTATTGTTGCAACCATTGAAGTGTTCGATATTCACTTTATTGGTTCTCTGAATCAGCTTCTCTCATAGCCCAAGGTAGGCTGGTACCCCACACCAATCATGCAGAGCTGCGGAACCGCTCAGGCAGCCGGCGCTGTGCGCACACCGCAGGCAACATGTATTCTCGCCTCGAGGCAGCTGCCATGAAGGCCAAATACGGAGGGGAGGGGTCTAGCGGGGAGGAAACAAACTCTGGGTGGTACTGCACAGCCATGAAAAAGCGCAGCGATGGGTACTCGATGGCTTCAACACGCGAAAGCGGGCCTAGCTGGGGGTCCGATGCCCCTGAAATGAGAAGCCCTGCACGCTGCAGTTCTGCAAGGTAGCGGGTGTTAACCTCATAGCGATGACGATGACGCTCCAGAATCACGGACGCCCCGGAGTAGATCTTCTTAAGTATGGAGGAATCCTCGATGATGTAGACGTCGCGACCACCAAGATGCATGTTGGCGCCCATCTTGGTTCTGTCAGCATCCATGATGCGCACGATCTGATGAGTGGATTTGGAATCAAACTCCTCGCTGTTGGCATCTTCCCAGCCTAGGACGTTGCGTGCGGTCTCAATCAGGGCAACTTGCATCCCCAGGCAGACACCAAAGTATGGGATGTTGTGGGTGCGTGCGAGTTGCACAGCCGCACACATCCCCTTCACACCACGAATTCCAAATCCACCTGGTACGAAGATACCATCGCAACTAAGAATCGCCTCCTTGGCCTCCTCGGCGTTCACGCCCTCCAAGTCCTCGCTGTCAACGTAAAGGATGTCCAGCTTGACATGAAGAGAGAGTTGGCAATGCTCAAAGGTCTGCAATACAGAAAAGTAGGCATCACTGCCGCCGGACACGTACTTTCCAACAAAGGCAATTCGCACGGTCGCGTTGGATGGATTGCGTAAAATTTTGGTGAAATGTTTGAAGGATTCGTAGGTGGGTACGCCCACCGCAGGCCGAGCAGGCCTCAGACGCAGTTTATGAATAATGCGCTCAATAAGGCCCTGGTCAGTAAATTCAATCGGGATCTGGTAAAGGCAGTCGACATCAGGGGCGCCAATGATGTCCTTGGACTGCACACCGCACTGATTGCTGAGTTTTTCCCGCACATCCGGCATTAGGGGCTGCTCACTGCGGCAGATCAGAAAATCAGGCGAAAGCCCAAGCGAAAGCAAGGTTCGGCAGCTGTGTTGGGTTGGCTTCGTCTTTTGAATTCCACCGAAGACGGGCAGGTAGGTCGTGTGAAGCAGGCAGAAGTCCTCGGGCAGGATGGAGTAGCGCAGCCGACGAAGGGCCTCCACAAAGCTCTGTGATTCCATATCCCCCACAGTGCCTCCAAGCTCGATCATGCAGATCTGGGGGAACTCATTGCTTCCTGCGACCAAGGGCTTCTGGCATAATGAGAAGATTTGGTCGACAACCTCGTTCGTAAAATGGGGCACCATCTGCACCGTCTTCCCCAAAAAACCGCCTTCGCGCTCTTTTGTGATCAGATGCTGGTAGATCTTGCCGGTGGTGATGTTGTGCTCGCGTCTTAAGTGTACGTTCATCCAACGCTCGTAGTTGCCGAGGTCAAGATCGGCCTCACAGCCGTCCTCCAGCACGTAGACCTCGCCGTGCTCAAAGGGGCTCATCAGACCAGCGTCGATGTTAAGGTATGGGTCGATTTTGATGCTGTGGATGCGGTAGCCGGCGGCGCGTAGAAGGGCCCCGGTTGCGCTTGTGGTGATGCCCTTGCCAAGCGAGCTGCACACCCCACCTGTTACCACAATAAACTTGACGCGATCAGCTTCCGAGTTGATTGAGTGCATCATCGGGGAGGGGAGGTAGTACGAGCTCCCAGAAGTTACTTTGTGGTGCTGCATTTTCCTTTAGTGTCGTTGATAAAATCGATACGATTTGTGTTGGGTGTATACTTATATCGATAGACTTAATTAGTTAAGGGTAGAATACTTTTACTCAACGGTTGCTTTGCTCAGAAAAAAAAATGAAAATGCTTAAGGTTGAGAAAGCCTCGATACATTCTTAAGCACTTCTGGATGAGAAACGCATTAATATGCAAAATTATATGTAGTCATGGGCGATTTTGCCCTTATCATTATAACGTTCAATTAGGAAACAATTGCAAAATGCAGTACTATGAAAGGTCTTTAAGGGATACGAATTTCACTTAGGAAATAGCAGCTTAAAGTAAATTGGAATGGCGGGCAGCTCGTGGTTTTCGTATTATCATTTTTTTATGCTTATAAAATCTAACACCTTTGCCTTCAGATATTGAGAAAATTCAAAAAAAAGATAGATAAACCACTGATATTGTACATACGAAAAGGGTACACAGGAAAGTAGAAATAATATCATCGTTAATTCATCAGTCAATATTACTATTGCTGTTTTTTTTAATAAATACAAAAAAGTGGTGTCGCTTTTCAATCTCGATAAATGTGTTTCCTTTTCACCTTCATGTCGACTTCTTGGTCACATCAAATGTGTGTGGAAATTAACATACGTTTGTTACGCGACGTAAACGCATTCACAAAAATTTTCTACTTTACCTCACGCAGTAAACCAATGACGGTATTTGACTTTCAGGGCCGCGCACTGCTGCATTCGCTCCTCTGAACCTTCACTGCTGTGTGCACCCGACTTGAAATCCATAGACATTTTGGTCTCCTGATTAAGACAGACCTGTGTTGCGTCTTCGTACAGGCCAAGGGCTTCCTTTTGCCTTCCTGTTAAGCGACCTCCGTCAGGAATAAGAACCAACACGTGGTAAAACACATCTCCTTTGCGTCGATTTGAATCTGAACCGTTGACTGGAGACGGCCCGTTATGCCCACCGGCACCGTAGCGGTTTCCGGATTTATTTCCCCCCTCTTGGGGCGCTGCAAGGGCGCCCTCGGAACCACCCCGCGGACATGGCAACCCGAACCCAGACAAGGACAAAACCTGCCCATTCCCCACACACGGCGGGACGCGCAGAGGGGTGG